AACTAGCTGGCATAATACCAAATTTAGCGGATACTGTTGAGAAAGAGCACAAAAGACTGCTTGCTCGTAAATCAATCATTGAAAAGAGGAAGGAGGATCAAGAGCGTCAGCAACTAGAAATGGTAGTTTACTTTTTCCATGGTTGTTTTCACTGCTCTCCTTTTATGCTGTGCCTGTTTTGACTATTCCTTGATTTGATGTTTACTTTTGAAGGAACGTGAAGAGGAGCAGAAACGGCTTAAGCTACAGAAGCTAACTGAGGAGGCAGAACAGAAGAGACTTGCAGCAGAGCTTGCAGAGAGAAGGAAACAAAGAATCCTTAGGGAGATAGAGGAGAAAGAGCTTGAAGAAGCTCAGGCTTTGCTGGAGGACACAGAGAAGCGCATGAAAAAGGGAAAGAAGAAGCCGTTTTTAGATGGAGTAAGTTTATTAATACAATATGTTAGCTATTATAGTTCACTGATTTGCGTATTACTAACATTGGTTGGGTTAAACTTAATGTAGGAGAAAGTGACAAAGCAAACTGTGAAGGAGAGGGTCTTAACTGAGCAGCTCAAGGAAAGGCAAGAAATGGAGAAGAAACTCCAAAAACTTGCCAAAACTATGGATTATTTGGAAAGAGCAAAGAGAGAAGAGGCTGCTCCATTGATTGAAGCTGCATATCAGCGAAGACTGGTAGAGGAAAGAGAGTTTTATGAGCGCGAGCAACAGGTAAAACCTTACCGTTTCAGTAGTTTTATTTTCTTACAACTTGGTTCTTAGTTGGAAGTATATGAGGTCCTTAAAAGCTCTTCTCCTATGCAGCGTGAAGTTGAACTCAGTAAAGAGCGTCATGAGAGTGACTTGAAGGAGAAAAACAGGTTGTCCAGAATGTTGGGTAATAAGGTCAGTTTTTGACATGTTATGTTGTTTCTCTGAGTGTTCATCTTGATGTGTATCTCTTTTCGTTATTGAATTAATTTGAAAGCTCTCTAGTTTCTTCATTTTTTCCTGTAACTTTTCTTTCCAGTCGACTTATATAATCGAATCTTTCTGTGTCCAGGAAATATTCCAAGCACAAGTGATTAGTCGTCGCCAAGCAGAGTTTGACAGAATAAGGACGGAGAGAGAGGAGCGTATCAGCCAAATAATTCGAGCCAGGAAGCAAGAAAGGGATATTAAGAGGAAGCAGATATATTATTTGACAATTGAAGAAGAAAGAATTAGGAAGCTGCAGGAAGAAGAGGAAGCTCGCAAGCGGGAAGGTGTGGACTTGCTTTCATAAATCCACATCATTTTGACATTGATGTTGAAGTTTTTCTAATATTACCTCTTGTTTCTGTTTATATTTTGTGTTTTCCCCTAACGTAGAAGCTGAGAGGCTCAAGAAGGAACAAGCTGAACGCAAAGCAAAGTTGGATGAAATTGCTGAGAAGCAAAGGCAGAGAGAGAGAGAGGTGGAGGAGAAAGGAAGGCTGGAACGAGAAGCCGCGTTGAAAGGAACTATTGCACCACCTGCTCGCCTTGCAGAGCCTACAGTTACTCCTACTGGAACTGCCGCCCCTGCTGCTACAGCAGCAGCAGCAGCAGCAGCAGCAGCATCAGGTCCGGCCAAATATGTTCCTAAGTGGAAGCGCCAGACTACTGAGGTCTCAGGCCCATCAGCACCAACAGCAGCACCAACACCATCAGAAACTGACCGCTGGCCCAACCGTGGACCGCCTCCAGGAGATGACCACTGGGGAAACAGTAGAGGACCGGCTCAGAATACTGACCGGTGGACTAGTGGCAGGGACAGAGCTCCTCCAGCTGAAGGAGGAGACCGTTGGGGTTCTGGTCCTAGAGGCAGTGATGAACGCCGATCTGCATTTGGAAGCTCCAGGCCCAGGCCAACACCGCGTTGAGTAATAATAATTTTTTTGGTCTCAATCTCCATGGGAATGAATGAAAGGTTATATCTCTGGATTTTCAACATCATAGCACTCTTCTTTAGCCCAAACCTGTCTCTTCTTCTTTTGAAGATTGCTCATCTTTTATATGTTTTATGAAAGATTTTAAAACATGTTTGACTCGTTTTTTGCTCTACACAACACCAAGAGAGAGTTGTTATTTCCTTCTTCGGTTGGATCTTTCTTTGTTTGTCCAATTTATTTCCAACTTTCTGCTGTAAAAACCTTTGACATCGATCAGCTTCTTTTCCATGCAATTTTTGTGTCAATGCTTATTTTATTAGTTTAATGTAACGTATAGAACATTATACCAAACCAAATTTAACATTTAACAACATCTGTATCAAATATAGGAATAATAAAATAAAGCATCTTTATTCTTATTTTGGATTAAGGTACAAAACAAATGAAACTGCAATTAATTTATCCAGATTCTTCATTGCCTTGATTTGAGAACAGAGCATGGGAAAAAGGCAAAAGCTCTCTTCACGAGGGAAAAGAGATATTTTATTAAAATTGCAACTTTTTTAGTGTGATCATCATCAGCTAGGGTTATGTTTGAGATTAGATTTTTCAATTTTGGTAAAAAAGATTAGGGAAGACAGAAAGAAACAACATCAAAATGTGGCCTTTTTGGTGGAAAGGAGCATCTGGGTTCTCAGCTCGTTCCACAGCTGAAGAAGTCACTCATGGAATCGATGGTACTGGTCTCACAGCTATCGTCACAGGTCTTCTTCTCCTTCTTCTTCTTCTTCTTGCAGATGTTTTTCAACTTTTAATGATCTGGTTTTGTTTCAATTTATACTTTTTCGACAGTTTCTTGGTTTTGATACTGCCCATGAACTGATCATGTTGTTGTTGGTATCTGTTAAGTGTTAATGGACGAAAGGTTTAAACTTTCTCGGAATAGTTCAATCAGATTTATTGTAAGAACATATCTTGAAGCAAAAGAGAAGATTTTTTTGCTGATTCTTGATGTATCTGTTTTATTTGATTTCAGGAGCATCAAGTGGTATTGGGGAAGAGACTACGCGTGTTCTTGCTCTTCGTGGTGTTCATGTTGTAATGGCGGTAAGGAATACGGATTCTGGTAATCAAGTTAGAGAAAAGATACTTAAGGAAACACCTCAGGCTAAGATTGATGTAATGAAGTTAGATCTTAGCTCTATGGCTTCTGTCAGGAGCTTTGCATCAGAGTACAAGTCTTTGAACCATCCCTTGAATCTTCTCATGTAAAGTCCCTAATTTTATACTTTGTTTAAGTAATTGCTGGATTAGTGAATGTTAATTCATGTTAGTCGGCTTAATCTTTGTTCTTGTTTTTGTAGCAATAATGCAGGGATTATGGCATGTCCCTTCACGCTTTCTAGCGACAACATTGAATTACAGTTTGCAACCAATCATTTGGGTATGTTTAATCAGAAGAACATATGATCCTCCATTTTTGCTTGTTCGTAGAACTTTTGTTAGATGTCATTGGTTCACATTTGAACATACAATCTTTGAAGTTTGATTATGAACATTTCCTTGTACAAAATTTTCAGGTCATTTTCTGTTGACGACTCTTCTTTTGGAGAGGATGAAGAAAACAGCTAATGAAAGCAATAGAGAAGGAAGAATTGTTATTGTCTCATCAGAAGGTCATCGATTTGCTTACGGGGAAGGTATTCGGTTTGACAAAATAAATGACGAAGCAAGGTGATTGTTATGTGATAGTATTGTTCACTACTTTTAGCTTTCAATATGTAATAAACTAATAACATACGATTATTGCTCTCAACGTTTCTTGACAGTTACAATACTTTGCAAGCATATGGTCAGTCAAAGCTCTCTAACATATTGCATGCTACTGAGCTTGCTAGGCAATTCAAGGTAAGATAGCATTTCGCGGATGATTTCCTAAAATTTTAATCAATTCCAAAGGCCAAAGAGAAAGCTCTAGTAAGTTTGGTTCATCTTTGTTTTGCTTAAAACAGGAACAAGGTGTGAATATCACTGCTAATTCACTTCATCCTGGATCCATTATGACCAATCTTTTGCGCTACCACAGCTTCATAAATAGTAAAGTCATATTCTCATCATAGTTCATTTCTGACCTTTGTTTTTCTAATACCATATATTGGATTGACACTGGATAAACTTCGGATTGTAAGTAGCAATCCTAAAACTTGCGTCTCCTTGTAAAATATTAGTTTGAGCCTGCACTGTGACCTCATATCCTAGGTGATGTTGGATCCTGTATAAGTAATTACTAGTCTAAGGTTGACTCCGTCTTAATCTACACATTTTCGCAATGTTGTACCGTAGTTTCTAGTAAGCTTGTCAATGAATGTTTATGATCCAACAATAGATGCATCAGAGAACCAACCAATAATGTAATAAATAAATTTCTCTTGTTTGATACAGCAATTGGTAATGCGGTGGGAAAGTATGTGCTGAAGAGTATTCCACAGGTCAGGTTTTTGATATTTTTTTCATCTGATTTGCCTCCAAGTTCAAGCATTTAATCATTCTGTCTCAACTCACTCACACACTCATGTTTGTATCTGTGTTTTTTGATACTGTTGTTGCAGGGAGCGGCAACTACATGTTATGCTGCGCTACATCCGCAGGCAAAAGGAGTGAGTGGGGAATACTTGATGGACAACAACATATCTAACCCTAATTCTCAGGGTAAAGACAAAGATTTGGCCAAGAAACTATGGGAGTTTAGCTTGAGCCTAACCGGTGAAGAAGAATCATAGATACTTTTGCTAAGTTACAGTCTTACAGATAAAGAGATATGGTTTAATAACAAAATTCTCATTATCAATCGACCCTTGTGAGTTTTGCGAAACTTTTTGATTATTTTCTTGGTTCAAGCTCAGTCATGTATATAGTTTACCAAATGAAATGAAATTCTGTTTTTAAGTTTGGTTTGAAATCGTTGGATTGTTGTAATCAAGTTTAGTCAGTTTTATAATTCTGCTCTCGCCATTTTTGTGAGTCACTGGTTATCCCTCATCGAGAGCTTGGGTCTGGACTCACCTTCGATAGAAGCTACAAAAGTAGATGAAGGTTGGACGTTGAAAGATACTTACCTGGACGGGGTCAATGGTTGATCAAGAAGAACTGCGGCTTAAGATAGTGACCTCCATTGCACCTTAAGGAGGGGTGCTTATAAGCTTGAGGTCTCTCCAAGTGAGAGAGCATGCGTCATTGATTTGTTGCTGCGGTGACCTGCATTCGCTCGGCCCCTCCCATTGATCCTGCGTCTTGGGACACTAACCACGTTAGGAAACCTTTAGATTCTTGGCCAATGCTCATTTGCGACAAACCAGAATTGCGCAATAGCTTCATCGGCTGGAGAGTAATTTATATACAAAAATTAAAAAGTGCCCACACGCAGGATCGAACTACGGACCTTCAGTTTACAAGACTGACGCTCTACCACTGAGCTATACGGGCCATTTGATAACAAATCATTATTGGTCTTTATATTATAATTAAATGTTATCCTTTTAAAGATTTGTCTATTGTTGGTTAAGGTTTATTACTATTGAGATTACATTATTTGCGGAATAGTTTTTGTATGATAGACCCAAATCCAGATGAAAGTAGTCTCCTAGATTTGATGATATATAAAAATATTTATAGATGTTATCGAATATCGAGCATTTTTCAATGATCGCAATACGTGTCAAATAGTATAAAACTCCTTATTTGGGGAAATGCATATTTAGACCTTAAATATATACATAATTTTAATTTTTTCTATAAAGATATAGTTGTAATTTGTTTTTATCAAGTATTAGCAATGTACTTAGTAATGTATTTTATGGATCATGTAATATATGGGTAACGATGCAAGTAAACAAGATTGGTAGTTCGAATATGGAAATAATAAAATTATGATATTTATTCCCAATTTGAAAACCACGAGTATCTTTTTCCAAGGTGGGTGCGAATCGGGTAACAAATTGAAGACGTGGACGCGGATATTAGTGTCAAAACCTACTATCAATAAAAGTCTAAAATATACCATATGTACACCATAGAGTAACATCATCTAAATTTTACAAAAATAATATATTTTGTTTATCATATCACATCAAATTTGTAAAATATTACATCAAAAGTTAACAAAACATATTTGCGCACCCTACCTATATTTTTAAAAGAGAAAAAGCATATAAAATGAAAAATTATTAAGTATTATAAGAGGCAGTGGCAAGTAGCAACCCTTTAACTTTGAGTTTCTCAAAGATTCAAACGAAACATGAAACAAAAACATTCAAAACAAAACAAATTCATATTGCAACTTGGAAGCCATTCATTTCATTATGCACATCGTTAAAACTCATTACAATATTCATAGGTCTCTAAAGGCAGAGACATAAACAAGAGAACTAACATAATAAAGTTCTTATTATTACTAAACTTACTTTCCCGACAATTAGTGACCACAAGAACTACGACTCGGACCAGAAACTAACTTACGACCCGACAAAAAACCCTCTTTGGACACTCTCTTCTCGTACTTGCCCGATCCATCTCCCAAATCTATTCCAATAACGTCACAACCACGATATGGTACCATAGCCATTGAACACGTCAAGTAAACGAACAAGAAAAACAAAACTTTGAGAAGGTTCTTCATCTCCATAACTTTAACTATCTCCAAAAAAAAAAAAAAAAAAAAAAAAAAAAAACTATTTAGAGTTTCATAGATAGTCCATGCCTACTTTATAGGGTTTTTGTTTGTGTTTTCGATGTGAGTTAATGTATATTTAATTGGGTTAATTCTATTGACTGAGTACACGATTGGAATATAATGTTTTAGGTTTAAACGTTGTGTTTAATGCTCTTTCATTTAATTATCTGAGTTTGACTCTTAAAAACTTAATTTAAAACATGTAATCTTAGAGCATCTAACCCTCCTCTATTTTTTCCTCTAAACTCTATTATAGAGCAAAATTTTCTCCAACCCTACTCTATATTTTACTCTACTAATTATATTTTAGAGTAAAAAAATAGAGCTATAGATCGTGAATTCTGCCAACTAAATAAATACTTCCTCTGTTTCCACTATATAAAATTTTATACTAAAAGCACAAAGTTTATATATTATATAATTCTATTTTTTTTTCTTTGTCTTTTTCTTTGCATTATAAACATCATTTCTACCTAATTAGAAATAATTCAACCAATAAGAAAAAAAATACTGCAGAATATTAAGATTCATAAACATCCAATTAAATAAAATTTAAGAACAAAAAAATATATTTCTTAAATATTTTACATATAATAGAACAAAGAGAGTATATTCAAATGGTATTTCGGAAAATCGTCCTTACAAGATAAAGACAATTTTTACGGAAAAGGAAAAAAAGAAAGAAGACAACGTTTCGTGCAACAAATAGTTTATTATGAAGGAGAATATTTTGGAAAAAGAGAAAGAAATTAAATTAAAATGTACTTGACTTCTTTCCTTTTCTCATCGGATGTATATGACTCTTAGGAATTATGAGTGTAATAAATAGAGAAATGTACTAAAAAAAGAGATTAACTTTCTGAAAGCTAAATAAATAACGAAATTTACAAAAAATTTAACTTTTTTGGAAAAAACTCAGAAATGATCTGATTCCAAAAGTTACATCTTTTGCTAGTTATTGAATTTTAAAACTTACAAAGAAAAAGCTACAAACTCCTATACTTCTATCTTCCAAAGAAGTTTTTGAGTTAAACCTTATACAACACATTTTTTTGTTACAATCTTCTGCTTCTTCACTCAAAGTCAAAACACTGACGATTCTCAGAACATATCATATTATCTGAACCAACCGAAGTAACAGCAGCAGCACCAAATCTGCCACCAACACAACCAAAAGATCCTTCATCATCACTGTCTATACGTTTTGGAGTCATACGGTTCTGATACCGTCTTTTGTTAATCAAGAACACATTGAAGTAGTAACTCACAAGTTCTTCTCTCTTCTTGCTTCGGAAACACCTTGCCGCATTTTTCCAGAAAGACTTAGGATCCGCGATCATCATGTCTTTAAACTTCTTCTCTTCTCTCTCTGTCCATCTTAGACACACTTCTTCTCCCATGTGATTGAATCTCCAATGTAAAAAGACATCGCCGAGCTCACGTTTCAGCTCCATTCTCTTCTCGGCAATGTGGAATCTAATGCATTCGACAGAACCAGGGCGGATGTTGACACAGCTGCAAGAATCTGGCCTTCCTTTTCCAATCACAACATTTCCGAGCGTATGATCTAAAGCTTCGTTGTTCTCTAATGGCCATATACGGGTTCCTAACCATTTAGTATCGCTCTCTAAACCAGATTCTGTCCATTCATCCACTTGGGCTTGGAAATTTGGTCCTAACCTTCTTCGGATATCTGGTTTCTTTCGCTCTGTGGCTCTAGAGGTTCCTGCAATAAGGTCTGCTCCCTCAGTGATCATCAGTTCTCTGCAATGGTTAGATCCTGATTCATATAGAGAGACCAAACTACTTCCACTGCAACACGAGCTCGAACAGAGTTTGGATAGTTTTGGAGGCCTTATTCTGTATCTTAACCTCCCTATCGACTTTCGATCATCTTCATACATAGACGGATGATGCATATTTTGGTGACCCTGCCAAGGTTTACCATGAGTTAAACTATCTCACAGGTAGAAAAAGTAAGCATACATAGAGCAGCAGAAACAGTAGCTATATAAATGTAACACGAGAAGGAAAAAAATCTGAGTTCATCGATAAGAGTAAATTAAAGCTGTTACCAGAAATGGAGAATTTTGATATCTGAGTTCAGCATTGTTTCTCTGAACCAGTAAAGCGTTCTTTGCTCTAGCCACTTGGAGCCAACACTCCTTCCATTTTGAACTGTACGGTATAACTCCAATGGAAGGATCATGAGGAGATGTTGCAACCGAAGCCAGCCACTTCAACATTCCCGGTAAATCGTCTTGCTTCTTTTCCAAGGACAATTCCAACAAACCTTCTTCCACAGCACATACAACAGACTCATCACTAATAGCAACACAAGACATTTCTACTCCTTTATCATCATCATCACTACTCTCTCTAACTCTCTTCCTAGACCTATCAAACTCTGAGCACGGCTCTTCGGTATGCTTACAACCAAACGCCACATCTCTGATACGTTTTTGACACTTCCCATTATCCAACAAACCCTTAAATCCATCCCCTAACTCAAGCAACAAACCCCCATAACACCCTTTCTTTTTACTATCCTTATTATCCCAATTCACAATCCTCGATTCCTCCACCGCCCATTTCTCCATCCGGTCCAAATACTTCGAGTAAATCAACCTCAAAGATGGAGCCACAGAACAATCAAAGCCTAACTTCTCAGCCACTACTTCCCACAACCCTTTCCTAGACACAGATTCAAACCCTCCCTTCTCCCTCACCAACACAAACAGCTTAAACAAATCGACCTTTTCGCCATCACCCAGAACCGCAGGGAGAGGCCTTTTATTACCCTCTTCCTCAAGAAAAACCAACAAAGCTTGATCAAACAAACTCTTTAACCTCTCCTCACATTCATCAACATACTTAATCTCAACATCAATAAATGAACATGAACTATGATTGAAACTGCCCATCTTGCCATTAAACCCTTGACCTCAATTTCTCCTCCATCATTCTCTAATCAATAAAGGTCTCTCCTTTCAATAACCTAAAGCCAAACAAACACAAAAGATCAATGAATTGAACATTTCTGCAGCTAATTTCAAGAAATGGGTCAAAACAAACAAACATGGATTAGCCTAAAGGTTGAATTTTTAAGATTTTGATTTCTGCTATTTTGGAATTGTTGTTACTCAATTGGATTTTGGATTCATGGTTTTACCTGGAGATTTCTGTTGCAGAAGCCAAAAGGATATGTTTTTAAAGAAGCCTCCTTATTATGGGTTTAAACTCCGCCATTGTTGTTACAGAAGTGACAAAAATTACTGACAAAAAGGCACAAATTTTTTTGAGATAAATGGAAAAGACATGCAAGCACTAACCAAGAACTCTTTGTCTGTTTTTTTTATTTGGTTTGTAACAAATCTGGGGTTAATATTAAGATTGGGTTATAAGATAAAAGAGAAAACTAAATCTGAGATATATAAAAAATACATTTCTAGGTTTATGTTTATATAGAGGGTTGAGTGGTAGGTGATTGAGATTCTTAATATAGGGTTTCTTAATAGGGTATGAAGTATTTTAGAAAATTTTATAT